ATTTCAAATCTACATAGTTTTCTGAACACTCTCATATAAGTTTCATGGTGTTCCGTGTAGTTCCGCGCTTTTGCGGCTCTATTAAAGCCAGGAAAAGTAAACGGTCTTGGGCACTGTTTTCAATGAGCAATTATAATACTTGAATAATGATTTTGGAGAAATCAACGGTCATATTTCCTTTCTCTGGCCTTTGGCATCTCGTTTCATCCAGAGATGACCCTTTTTCGCCACGAAGTACTCTAAAAAAAAGCAATTCAGTGGCACCACTCCTGATGGCGAGATTGAGGCTGGACGTTTACCGGCTGCAATCCCTATCATTTTAGCGACCAAAAAATTTATTTTTGTGATAACCATGATAGATACGTAACCAGTGGGTGCCTATGGACCCACTCTGACCATAAATAATACCATTTGTTGACTTGATATGAGGGGGGTTTTGAGCAGCTAGATTGGGGTTTTGACACACTGTGCGCCGTGTCAACTATGAAGACTCATAACTCCGCTTGTAATTGTTTTCCCAAGACGAACTTGAGCTTGTTCGAAACCTTAAAAGCTCTACTTTCATTAAGGATTGTTTTTGTTTTGTTCGGTGCAAACCGAACGACCAAAAATCTCGAAAAAAGAAAATTTACGAAAGTAGGACCTTGTATGATTCCTCCATAAGTAGGTCAAACTTTGGGAAAGTATTAATTTCATACAAATATTTTGATAGCTCTTATTTTTCTGAAAATTTTGACACCAAGATCATCTTTCTACAACATACCGTTGAGAAGTTATGCTACTTTAAAGGTTTTGACTTCAACCCCCTCTCCCTCTCCCCCTTTTCCCTGGGGGCTGAGAAAATTGTAGGATTCCGTGTTTAGGCCGATTTGGCCGTTTTGTAGTACCTAAGCTCCTTTTCGCCCCTTTTTGGCCTCAGGCAGATGTCCTCCTGTTGGACTTCAAGTGGAAGCTTACAAAAGAAAATACTCTGGTTACAACTTTCTGTCAACGTATGCAAGTCTGCATATGCACTTTAGTAGAAATATAAGCTCCGAGACCTCCTAATGTTGCGTAACTGGTGACGGTTAGTTCCAGCGTTCTACCGGGCCGATTTTAATGATTTTTGCGGCCATCGACGGGCAATTGTCTCTAGATAAGCCAACTTTTTTCAGATTTTCAAAATATGGCCCAGGTTTTTTTATTTTACGTGGTAAAGTTGCGAATTCTCCCATTTAAACAATGTAAATGTATACATTTTGTCATAGTTCGTTTGAGCGTTCTACCGGGCCGATTTCTATGATTTTTGCGTAAATCGACAGGTAATAGGCCCTAGATGAGCCCGCTCTAATCAGATTTTGGATATGAGACCCAGGTTTTTTTAAAATCAAGTTATAAAATTGAGTGAATTTACGGAATGCTCCGGGACTGCTACCGCTATGCGCGAGAGGATGCGCAGTGGTCGAGGAGGTTGCGCAGTGGTCGAGGAGGTTGCGCAGTAGCTGGGTAGCCTGCGCATCAGCTCTATACTTACCTACGCAAGATTCACGCCGATTATCACCATTCGAGCGGTGGCCGAGTCGTCTAAGACGTCGGATGCGTACACTTACAACAAGATGTGGATTCGATCCTCGACTTCTGACTATCTTAATTATTACCTGATTATCATTGTTCGTTGTTTTACTGCAATATTTCATCAAGCAGTCATTCCAAAACGCGTCCTTTTGACTTCAAAAAAAAAAATTTTTTCTTTATTCATCAAAACCAAAAATTATTTCATTCTGAAAGTAAAGTATACCTCATATCGTAATTTTTTAGGGGAAAAATAAAACTAACACTGATAGAAGGTAAAAAAAGAGCCGCGAAGCGGCCAGGGGGCGTAGCCCCCTAGTATGCACTATTGTAGAAATGTGGGGGTGCTAAGTTGCCATTTCTAACCTTCATTTCAGCACTATTTCAAAGGAAATACCCTTTGAAGGGGTATTAGTGAGGGACTTCAAACCAAGTTTCTTGAAATATGATTTAATGTCCTGTATCATGAACCGATACCGGGTGTTTTAAAGTACCTTTACTAGAACTTTTTTACTAAACGCTTTTACTAAAAGCGCCAATTTTGGTGTCTTTTTTTCAGTTTGCTGCTTGTCGCGCGTTTAATTTTGCCGTGAGCAGAAAGAATTTGACTCAGCTTGTAGAAAGTTTAACGAGTTTTAACTATGGAAATAACCAATTTTGTCGTCTGATCAACTCCTGGCAAGTCACTGGCCATAATCCGCCGAAAAGGCCTATTTTAAGCCATTTTTGCGAAATTTGGCAACATCTTGGTGACAATTTTTTTATGAAATGGTCAAATTCGGATTCAGCGCCAAAAATTACATAGGAAACCATGGAATTAACGCTACCCGGTGGTTTTGGAGGCTAAAATTTCTATCTGCCCGGACTCAAAAAGCGTCGTCGCTCCATAAAGCTGTTTACAAAAATGATGATATCTCGCGAACCAAAAGTTTCCCAGCTAGCTATAATATATCGATGGATGCGAAATCAAACGAACTATCGATTAGACAACTTTTCATTCAAATTTGAAGATAGCTTTTTTGGGTATTCGCGGATTTGTAAAATTTGTCGAATTTAAAAATCGAAAAATTGGCAACAATGCATGTTAAAATTAATGCGACATCAAAAACATGGTCATTTCCTAAAAGTACGCAATTTTTAGAGAATTTTCGTTAAAAGCGCAACTTCATAGCTCAATTTTAATGCCACTTACGGAATTTGTCCGTTTTCAACTTGGCAACGCTGTAGCGCGCGGGAAAAATTTCGGGTGAACTTGCCAATGTCGGAAAAAGGCGTGTCATGTGATAGGGAACAACATATCCAACTCCGGGAGAAATCCAAGAGGGGGGTAAAATCGCCGATTTTGAATAACCCTCTTTGGGGGTCCCGTTGTCCTCAGAGACTCTCCTGATGGGGCACAGGGGGTCTCTGAACTTTTTAATTTAACCGGTGTAGAGGTTACTCCTGTGTCCGTTCAGAAATGTTTCTAAGGACAACGGGACCCCCAAATTTGGACTCCTTGGGGTCGATTACCCAAAAACACACATTTTTTCCGAGTCTCCATGTCAATTTAACGAACTTGATTTTTTTTGAAAGGGGGCTCTGTCCCTCACCTTTAGGGGTCGGTATTTTGGACACGGATGGGCCGATTTTGGATTTCTTGGTGTCGATTTAAGAAGTGCGGTCCCCCTTTTACTCCTCAAGGGGCGCCAGGGGGGCTTTGGGACCATAAAATTCGGATTCCTTGGTGTCGATTCCCTATTCATCCCTGCGATCATGGACTTCGTGCGACCCAAATTAACCAAAAAAAAGGCCCTGGTACGGTAGGTGTGGGCCACCCTGTATAATAAAATAAACTTTATTTGATGAATGCATAGATGTCCTGTACTAATACTGTAGTGCTGTAGTTAAATGTTTGCATAACAAATAACAAGAATATAGATATAATAACATGAATAATTTCAACTGGTCCTGTCTGTACAGTCAGCAATAGAATAAGGTTATTGCTTGACAAGGATTTGTCTGATCAGGGCATTACGGTTTCAAGGCTCCTCTTCAATTCTTTTTTTTTTTGTTGTTAATCGGTAGTTTACAGTAAAATTTATGATCGTGAGTCGATGTTTTACTTATTTTTGGATGAGACTTCCTTTTTTATTTCTTTTGTTGTAGTTGTGCATTTCTCTCGATTCCTGTAGTTTCTTAGTGTTGCAGAGTTTTAATGATGAATATATGATCAACATAATGGAACAAAACAACTTTAAAAGAGATTCATCTCTAACTTTAAAAAAAGATTTATAGCAAAATCATTAATAAACAGTATGAATAGTAATGGCCCTATCATTGATCCTTGCTCGTTGTCTCCATAAAAGTCTCTATTTATTGAGTTACATTTCTATTGTTTTTCCGTGTATGTTCATGTTTTTTTCTTCATGACCTAAAACTTTTTATTCAGTTCAGGGCCTCTGTTCCAAATCAACAGAGGGACTACAGTAATTGAAGTATATTCTATACTTCTTTTGATTTTTCAAGCAATCAAATGACTTGGATCGAGAGCAGCACAAATATGGAAAAAGAACTGCCTGTTCATCATCCCATTTTACCTTCTGTCTCCTTGATTTGAATGGATTCATTAGATTTCTTTTTCCCATAACTATAGACCGAAATTCAAGATGAAGATAGACGTTTAATTAGTGCTGTGGACTACTACTTCATTGAAGAAAATGGAAATCGTTTCAAAGTTTCCCTACCATTCTCTCCCTACTTATATATTCTTGTCAAAAAAGAATTTATGCAAGAAGTGTCAACTTACCTGAGCAAAAAATTCGGTGGCTCCATCAGCAGCATTGAAATCGTTGCAAAGGAAGACTTAGATTTGGTAAGTAATGCCCCTGTTTTTCTTTTTTCTCTAGAGTAAGTCTAGCTCTCCAAGAATAGAATCAACCACTCCTTATGTTCGAAATTTTGAAATCCCCACCTTTTATATGTACTACCACCTAAAAAAGAGCTTAAGTAGGAAAGTATCAGCAACAGGGTGTCTACAAGTCCGGAAAGAGTACTGAATTTTTGAGGGCGGTCCGGAAGTACTGAAAAAGTGCGGAAATTCCGCCAGAAGGTCCGGAATTTTTTATTTTTGTCGCAATTTGAAAGAGAAATTCAAAATGTTGCGATTTTTTTAATTTCGTCAAATGAAGGTACTGAAAAAGTACTGAATTTTTTCGTTGAGGAGGTACTGAATTTCTCGGGAATGTACTGAAAAAGTACTGTATAAGTACTGATTTTTGGCCAGCCTGTTTTAGTAGACACCCTGTGCCAGAACTGGAAATATTTTGTTAATTTTCATCTCAAAATGGTGGCTAGGTGAGGTTTTCTAACTAATTAAAGCTGTGATTTTGAAATATACAGGGTGGGCCGAAAGTAACTGAATAGTGCTGTAACTTTTGATGGAAAAGAGATAAAAGGTTCCGGTCAGTACCATTGCTCATTGTTGCAAAGAGCTGACTTATTATGGGGGTTTTTTATAGGGCCCCCGAGGACAACTCGAAATTTTCAATTGGCAATCTCCCCCCTTAGAGACACATCGCTGGAAGGAAGGTTTAAAAAGAAAATTGCTGTGGCTTAAACCGGAGAAATATCCAACGTTTCGTTCTTGAGATATTCATGATCTAAGTTACATTTAGACCAATTTTTAAAAATTGACAAGTCCTGCTTGAAGAATCCCAAAAAGACCGGCTAATTTGTAGAACTGCTAAAGCTTTTATAGCCGAATTATCTGAAGATGTATTTTTCGTCAGCTCGCGTTGAGGGTGGGGGGGGGGGCGCTCGCCGCCTGAAAATGCGACGTAACGGCACCGTTTTTCTCCGTCTCAAAGCGCACATATTGTGCCATCCTATAAAATAGCATCTGCAATCAGCAAAGTCGCGGGCTATTTTTAAACTTTTCATTGCTGCGATTGGTCCGAGTCTTTGGAATCTGGGAAGTTTCAGGAATCAGGATCTGCATTGGTACGCTCTCTCGCGGTTAGCGACGAAACCCTAGTTAACACTTTCACTTTTCTCCACCAGTAGCGCTCTACTTCTGGGTCGGTTTTCTGATTCGCTAGAAACTTCCCAAAGTCCTGGACTCGTCTCTGTCAGCCATTATTGTTCAACAAACAACTTAAAACTAACGAGAGCCTACTCTCAATCCAGAAGAACCACAAGGGCCTAGGTCAGAGACCTAATGGCAAATGAGCTAGATTCGAGTTACAATGACAGCCCAACGCCGAAGATTTAAGTGGTTGGTTATTCCCAAGTCACCATACCCCAAGGTATTATCAAGGGGACACGAGATCAAGAGAAAAAAAATTTCAAGCTTCATCCTCACACAGAAAGTAGCTCTTTAAACACAATTAAGTCAGAAGTTAAGGCAAATTCATGAATAAAAGCCTTCACACAATTTCAAAACGAAAGGAAAAAAAAAAAAAAAAATTAAATGATGTTTCAAATATCCTTCTCATTTTAGAATTTTAAACTTTGAATAAATATCCACAAAAATTTAGGAGGAGTCAGGAGACAAACTCAAGGTACCTTCTATTTGCTTGAGTAACAGAGTAAGTCCTGTTTGAAGAATCCCAAAGAGACCAGCTTAAAATTCGTAGAACTGCTATAGCTTTTATAGCCGAATTACCTGAAGATGCATTTTTCGTCAGCTTGCGTTGAGAATGGCGGGGAGCGCTCGCCGCCTGAAAATGCGACATAGTGGCGTCGCTTTTCTCCGTCCCAAAGCGCGTTCAAAGTCATGACACTGGCTGTCGTTTTGCCATAAAACTTTGACACGCACCCGATTTTGAGTGCGCTTTGAGACTGAGGAAAACGATTCCGTTATGTCGCTCTTTCAGGCGGCGAGCGCCCTCCGCCACCCTCAACGCGAGCTGACGAAAATACATCTTCAGATAATTCGACTATAAAAGCTATAGCAGTTCTACGAATTTTAAGCCGGTCTTTTTGGGATTCTTCAAACAGGACTTGTCAATTTTTAAAAATTGGTCTAAATGCAACTTAGATCGTGAATATCTCAAGAACGAAACGTTGGATTGATCTCCGATTTGTGCCACAGCAATTTTCTTTTTATATCTTCCTTCCAGGGATGTGTCTCAAAGGGGAGAGATTGCCAATTGAAAAATTGAAAATTTAGAAAATTGCCCCATAAAAGATCCCCGTAAAAAGGCAGCCCTTTGCAACAATGAGCAATGGTACTGATGGGAACCTTTTATCTCTTTTCGTTCAAAAGTTATAGACACTTTTCAGACTTTTGGCCCACCCTGTAGACCAGGTACCAACTCGTTTCTATAGAAGAATCACTATTACTTCTCCTTCCCCCCCCCCCCCCCNTTATCAATGCAGTACATGATGGGCGTCCACTAAAATTTCTGAAGAGGCAGAGCCTATGCGCGTTGGCCAAATGCTAAGACCAATTTATCTTATAAGTTCCCAGTATCTGTAAAAATTTCTCACTAACACCTGTGTAAAATCGTGAGTATTTTATGAAATAAGATAATTTCTATATTTAAGATATAAAGATCATATTATAAGATTATTATTAAGGTATTATATTAAGATTCAATTCAAGATATTTTATAAAATAAGATTCCTCCATACACCATTATGACGAGAGTGCTAAATAAATAAATACAAAATAAAGAGCCTCGCCAAGTTTCGCCCCTTTTTTGGATACTCGAGTTTGTCAACCAGGCAAGGCTCAAATGAAAGCTCATGGTAAAGCAAACTTCCAGGCAAAGTTTCAATTTGAAGTGACACCTCGTTTAGGCTGTACAGCGTTGCCAATTTTTCATTTTTTATATGCTAAAATCAAGGAATTCTAGACTAATAGTCCAGTGCATTATAATTAAATAGACTAGTACACCGGAGTTGGTAAACAGGTCAAAGCTCAAAGGAAAGCTTATGGTAAGGCAAACTGCCGGGCAAGGTTTCGACTTTAAATGACCTACTCTGGTATCCCAAAAGGGGCGAAAAACACCCTTTTTTGGTGAGGCTATTTGAAGTTAATGTTTCCATCATTTTGTAATAAATCTGGTCTCCTAAAAAGATGCCTCCCACTATCAAATCTTTTTCAAATCAGCCTATATCTACTATCTCCTGGCCTCCCTCTTCCCTTTTATTATCAGTGCTAAGCAGGGTTCTAGATAGCAAGTTAAGAAACCCGAAAATATACGACTTACAAAAATTCCACTCTCAGTGCTTGATTAGATGTATTACTCGAAACTGAAAGAGGAATGATGACCTTTCAGTGGTCTTCCAGAGAAGGTAATAATACAAAATTTTATTTCGTTGTTTAGAAATTGTTAACTGTGTGTTTTATGCAAAGAATAAAGTGAGGTGCACAGTCTTTTGTGGACAGCAATGTGGAAGCAGCTTTAAAATACAGAGTGCTGCCTAAAACAATGTGAAGGCAAAAAATTCTGCACCCCTGTAAACTTTAACTCTTCATCAACCCCCCCCCCTCCTCCATAGCTTGTGCAAGGATGAGAACTTGAGGAAAAGACAAGCTATTATCTGATGCATCAACAAGTAAAATCTCTAAAACTTTCACCGCTTGCAAGTTTGAACCCATTTTCCATGAACCCCTACGAAACACTGTAATGTAATAAAGGCCTTCAGGTTTTTAATTCTTCATTCATCCAACTACAAAAGCTTCTTAAATATGATTATTTTTTCATCTTTGTGTTTTATTCCGAAAGAAGCCCCCCCCCCCGGGTGTTTTAGTTGAAAGCATTAAGGCTTTACAGGAAATATTATTTTTTGAACAGGGTGCTTTTTTCTGAAAAAAGTTATTCAATTATGAAAAATCACAACAAAAATAAGTAAATAAAGTAAAAGCATTGAAAAGTTGTGCATATGTCAGGGAACTTTGACTTCACAAAACGAAATATTCCTAACTTTTTTGTCTCTTTTTCCCCCAGCCAAATCATCTAATAGGACTGAAACAAACATTTTTAAAGATATCATTTCCTAATACTAGTGAACTGAAAAAAGTGAAACAGACCATTTTCTCTGCAGTACGAAAGAACAAAGAACGGGAAAACAGCAAGACATTTTACTCAGAAATGTTGGCTGAAAGCACAGGAGGAAGTATTCGCGGAGCCAGTAATTCTGCAAAGAAGAATACTGATAATTTAGATAATATCATGGACATCAGGTATGTCTCATTGCTTCATAGATGTTTGTTTATTATTCTAGTGATCCCCCATTAAGTAATATTTTACTTTTTTTTAAAGTCTGAATGAATTAGGGGAAATTTGAAAGCTCCTCTCATAGAAAATGAAAAAGCTGTGCTTATACAGGGTGAGCGAAAAGTCCCCAACCCCATGCGGGCACCAACACATGCACTTGTCAATATGAAATTTTGTGGATGCTTCTAGATCAATGAGAGCGACTTTTTGGCACATCCGAAATCAGAGCGCTCACTAACTTGAAATTTTCAAATGGTAACCCCCCTCTTCTGATACATTGTTGGAAAGGTAATAAACCCCCCTCTTCTGATACATCGTTGGAAAGGTAATAAAAAAAGAAAATTTTTTGCGCAAACCAGAGGTTGCATTTTATTTTTTTCTAGAGTTATCCTTGGTCAAAGTTAAAAAAAGGCCTGTTTTTAAAAAATCCTAAGTCCGGTTCAGAAAGGCATAAAAGGCGGCAAAATTCTCGGCATTGCATGTGCTTTCAGAAAAAAAATCGTCAAAAACCTTGTCGTCTACGCTCAGAGTGATTTTTGCCCCCCTCCCGCGATTAACCGTCTTTCTTGCGGGAGGGGCGACCCAGTTCTCCGGAGGCGAAAGTAAGCAATTTTTTGAAGGTAACTCAGCTACCTGACAGAGCCCAGGCCATTTGGGGGGGGAGGGGGGGGAGGCCCCTCCCCGCCTCCCCTTCTGCAGAAGAATGAATAGATTTATTTAGAACCGTCGATTTCGGGATTTTGTTGGGGGGTCATTCCACATAGAACTTACCAGTCATGCAACCGCCCGACTCGGATTTTGATGATAAATTTTTTTCTTGATCAGACCACCAAATAATGAACTTCTGCAAAATATTAGGTCTCAAATCGAAAAACTCACTGAGATATGAATTTTGGAAGTCTTAAGAATTTTCAAGAAAGAGACGTTTCGAACTTCCGAGAAAGAGAGGGTCATTTTCCCCCAAAAAATTCACCCCGGGCCCATTTTTCGTCGGATTGTAGTGAAAAGCCCCCGTAGTGGAGCCCAGGCCATTTGGGGGGGGGGGGAAGGAGGCCCCTCCCCGCCTCCCCTTCTGTAGAAGAATGAATTGTTTTGTTTAGAACCGTCAATTTCGGGATTTTGTCAGGTTCAATTTTTTTTTTACATTTTACTCAATTTTCAGTGCAGTCTTACCTTTTCTTAGATTAAGTGCTCAAATTAGAAAATCGACAGTTCTAAACAGAACCAAAAATTAAAGTAAAATGTAAAAAGAATTGAACCCAGGGTCATTCCATATAGAACCTACCAGTCATGCAACCGCCCGACTCGGATTTTGATGATAAATTTTTTTCTTGATCAGAGCACCAAATAATGAACTTCTGCAAAATATTAGGTCTCAAATCGAAAAACTCACTGAGATATGAATTTTGGAAGTTTTAAGAATTTTCAAGAAAGAGACGTTTCGAACTTCCGAGAAAGAGAGGGTCATTTTCCCCCAAAAAATTCACCCCGGGCCCATTTTTCGTCGGATTGTAGTGAAAATTTGACACGATGTCCATGAAAGTATATAAATTTGAGAATAAAATGCATAAAATGTTCGACTTCACTCATTGATGTGCTGCGGTTGATTGTTCGTTGTGATTTTGTCTGATTTTAGCGACAAAACCTTCCCCTCTTCAAATGCTCATAACTTTTGAGCTGCAAGTTATTTTTTGCTCCAATTTTTTTTAAAATGCTCCTAAGAGTATTAGAAAGACGCCTAAAGAACAATTCTGATGGCGTTTTGGGCTTTAGTATCTTTTTTTTCACTTTTGTCTGAAAAAGGCCTAAAAAACTGGAAATAGCACCAACATTGTTCCGATAATCTACCATTACCCTGAAAAGTCAACTCAAAAATCGCTCAATTTTTGCCTGAATGGTCCTTACTGTGTGTACAATATGTTTGAAAAATAAAATCAATGGTATTTCGGGTTTAAATATCTTTAACTTCGAGTTTCTTCCGAAAAAAGGCCAGCAAAACTGAAAAACACTGAAATTACACCAATTATCGGCGCTTACATTGGAGTAGCAACTCAAAAATTGCTCACATTTATACTGAATGGTTCTCACTGCATGTGAAATACGTCTGTGGAATAAAAGTGATGGTATGTTGGGTTTCCATAACCCTTTTCCCGACATTTTTACTCAAGAGAGGCTCGCTCAACTGAAAAAAGCGCTAGGAAAATCTCATTAACCGACCATTACATTGAAAAAACAATTGATTGGGGGCCCAGATTTTTCACCAAAGGACTCTTGTTGTATGGGAAGCACACTATCTTGAGGAGTGAATATAGTGTATTCTTGGTTGTAGTAGTTTTCCCCTTCACTCCAATCTTTACGATCGGCTTCAAAGTAAGGAAATAAAACTGTAGGTATCTCTTAACTGATAGGCATCTGTTATGGAATTTGAGTACGTCACTGGTGTTAGACTCAAGTTCGGGTTGAAAGTTCGTGAGACCGTTCGGCACCAGTTGATTTTTAATAAAAGGTAGAATCAACAAACTACTAGAATGGATTGAGAATTATAGACACTAAATTTTTGGAGATGAAATTTAGAGTTAAACTGAGTCAAAAGAGAGAGCATAGAATCACAAGAGTTAAACAGTAAAGAAAATAGTCACTCAGAAAATGTGCAAGAAGGCGAGAGTGGGCACAAACGTACTTGTACGGGTCTAGATGGTAAAGAACCTGGGGTCTAAGAGATGAGAAAATACTGACAGACCTAGATTTTAGGGCAGCGCTTGCTTATATAGACTTGCTGAGGTCACGGGTGGTGAGACAACAGGCCTACACAAGATTGGCTGGCTACAATCTATGTAGTTATCAGCTGCAAGTTTAGTAATTAAATTTATGGGTGACTCTTGGTGATGGCTGGGAGATAGGGGTGAAGAAGACAAAAGTGGACGAAATCCAGCCATCACTAATGAGTGTTCTAAAATTAATAAGAAATATTCGAAAATGTAAGGCAAAAAGATGAGAAGGTGTTGACAGCATCCCTATTCACATTAAATGTGATTTACTGACTCCTGGATGGCATCATAATGAGGTTAATAACTTTCAAATGTATTCTGAAATAAAAATTAATGGAAAAGATAAAAAGTTCTAATAGGAATTATCAGCACATTAAATTGTTAAAAATTGAGGGAGGTTATTCATGCTGACTAGAGTTGAAGTATTGTAATTATAGTTTTGAAAAATTGAGTTACCTATTTATTTCCTTAACATCTCAAGCAAGGGTTTCACTCTTAAAGGGTGGGAAAAAATATGTACAAAAATCATGTATTTGGATATTTTGCGTTAAAAAAATAGAATGTTATCAATGAAGTACGTAACTGTAAGGTTTGCCCTTGTATCACTCAATTCAGAACTTTGTTGCTTTTTCAACTCAAAGCATTAAATTTACTTCAAAAAACTTTTTAATATTCAAATCTATAAATTAGAATGTTGCTGATATAGATCACGATCTTGATTGCCCTGAATAATTACTCTAAACCAGAGTAAGTTAAAGTTATGCTAGAAATCACAACAAATTCGTTGTTGCGTGTGTGCGTGATAGGCATTGGTTCTTTGGGCTTGTTCTATCCAAATCAGAGGAAGAAAACGACTTTGAAATTTCATTTATGTATCCATCCGCGTCCGTGAATTAAAAAGTTTTTTGGAGTAAATTTAATGCTTCGAGTTGAAAAAGCAACTAAGTTCTGAATTGAGTAAATCAAGGGCAAACCTACAGTTACTTTATTGATAACATTCTATTTTTTTATCGCAAAATATCTAAATACATGATTTTTATACATATTTTTTCCCTCCCTTTAAGAGTG